CCTCCCAGGCGTGTACCTGTACAAGCCATTGTTGTGCCTCAGCCTCCTGAGTAGCTGGGATTACAGGCGCCTACCACCATGCCTGGCTATTTTTTGTACTTTTAGTAGAGACGGGGTTTCGCCATGTTGGCCAAGCTGGTCTCAAACTCCTGACCTCAGGTGATCCACCCACCTCGGCCTCCCAAAGAGCTGGGATTACAGGCGTGAGCCACTGTGCCCAGCCAACAAAATTAAATTTTAAAAAGTAGGTTTCAGAGTACCACCTCAAAGCCATTGAATCTGAATCTCCATGTGCAGGGCCCAGGAATGTGCATTTTTAATAAGTCCAGGTGATTCTAATGCAGCTGACTGGGGGCTTATGCCCAGTTGAGAAGTACTGTTATTTGCCATGTTACCCAATGAAGGGAAGTGACTACTATCTTATTCATCTTTGTGTTCCCTGCAGTGGCCAGCATTGGGCCAGAAATGGAATTTATTACATGAAGCTGGACTGCATTGCACTGTTGGAAGGAGTTCCATTAGGGTAATTATGAGCAACAGGGCCTAGCCCTCCTTCCCAGGAGGAATTAAGTCAACCTGTGGCTCAGGGTTAGGCCGTCAGGAGTTTTCCAGGGCTGATACTGCTTTGCTTATGTGTGCGTTATGTGTTTGCGTAGTATGTCTCGCTTTCTGTTGTGTGTTACTGTCTTGAGTCTCAGAAGGGTCTGTCCACCCCATGCTGCACGTGCTCTGCAGGCTTGTCGTTCTCTGTGTTGTGCATGCACAGCTGTGTTAAATAACGTGTCTTAGAGCGTGGAGGACCCAACATGGGACAGGTCCTCTGGCTGATGGCACATTTAATCAGTCAGGTTGATTTAAAAGTTTTCAGTGAATTTAATACATCAGAATGATTCCCTTTTATGACCAGTAGAATAGACATTTGATTTTTTTTTTTTTTTTTTTTGAGGTGGAGTTTCACACTTGTCACCTAGGCTGGAGTGCAGTGGCGCAACCTCTGCCTCCTGGGTTCAAGTGATTCTCCTGGCTCAGCCTCCCGAGTACCTGGAATTATAGGTGCTCGCCACCACACCTGGCTAATTTTTTTTTTTTTTTTTTTTTTTTTTGAGACAGGAGTCCTGCCCTGTCACCCAGGCTGGAGTACAGTGGTGCGATCTCAGCTCACTGCAACCTCTCCCTCCGGGGTTGACACGATTCTCTTGCCTCAGTCTCCTGAGTAGCTGGGATTACAGGCACACACACCATGCCCAGCTAATTGTTTTTGTATTTTTAGTAGAGACAGGGTTCCACTATATTGAACTGGTCTTGAACTCCTGACTTCAGGTGATCTGCCTGCCTTGGCCTCCCAAAGTGCTGGGATTACAAGCGTGAGCCACCACACCTGGCCTAATTTTTGTATTTTTTAGTAGAGATGGGGTTTCACTATATTGGCCAGGCTGGTCTTAAACTCCTGACCTCCGGTGATTCGCCCACCTCGGCCTCCCAAAGTGCTGGGATTACAGGTGTGAGCCACCATGCCCGGCCCCTAGACATTTGATTTTTAAAAATGTTTTGACATGTCTTAGTTTGAGTTCACAAGAAAAAAAGTAAATTAATCTAAAAATCTATTGGCAACAAACATTTCAATAAAAATGGAAAATAGACTCTTGAATGTCATGTTTAGGAATTTGACTTCATATTTTGGTAGTGTAGCTTCCTAAGATTTTTTAAGCCCCAGTGTGACAGCTTCAGAGATCTGCTCTAAGATAACTGACAGCAAATGTGAGAGAATGCATGGAGTGAATGAGACCAGTTGAAGCTGTCACAGGGGTCCCTGGAGAGACTCTACAGGAGGAGGCTGTCATGAGGAACCATTAGAGGTAAAATTGATAGACCCTGGCCAACTTGGGAGGAAGCTGAGGCTATTAAAATAGATAAAGAAAAACAGGAACTGGCGGGGACTTGGGGGACAGAGTGGAGAGAGAAGAATGGGGAAGATGGTGAACATTATGTTGGCCTTTTGTTTTGGTTACAGATTTTTATGCATGAGGGGATTTTAAAAAAATTTCCACTTCATTTTATTTATATCTGAAATATCAGTGGGTGGCCTAAAAATCAACTTTAGTATTGCCAAATTGCCTGATATCATGATATCTATAAATAAAGTTCTAAAGATAATATCTTTTACAAAGCAAGCATTGCAAAATGAATTCTTTTACTTTTTCATGTTCTGTCCCAGCATAAATCTCCAGCCTTCATTAGAGCTGCTGTTATTTCTGATTTCAACTTAATGTTATTAAGAGCACACAGTGTTACTTTTTGTGACCTGCCTTTCCTTTAAGACCACAAATCAAAGAAAGTAGAATCACTCTGTTTTTCTGGATGCCTAAGAACATTATCCTGGAGAAGTATTACTGATCCTTTAGATAAAGAATGTAGATGCTGACCTGTTTTAATAAATATAACTACTGTGTTTCAGACAACCTTTGGCTGACACCCATTCTTTTGACATGGGTGCCTTAGTAAGTACATCACAGCATGTGGTTGGGAATCAGACAAATTGGGGTTGGGATCCCAACTCTGCTGCTTGCCACATGTGTGACTCTGGAAAAGTTATGTATTCCCTAGGCCTCAACTTCCTCATCTATAAAATGGGGATTGGAAAAAAGGACTTACTTCAAGGGATAGTTGTGAGGATTAGTGAACTAACAGATGTGCTTAGCATTTCCTGGAACACAATACATGTGCAATAAAAGTTATCTATTTGTCCTATTATGCAAGATTTTATTTTGCAGAGATCCAGAATCAACAGAGTTTATGAAAGGAATGAGGGACCTTTATGTTATCAAAAAGCGAAGGAAGTATCTGTACATGCTTACCTTCCTCGAATGACGTAATTTGGGTCTGTCAGGGTAGTTATTTAAACTCTTTCAGAGCCTCTTTTTACCTAGACCAGTGCCTCCCACAACGTGGTCCTTCAACCACCAGCATCAGCATCATCTGGGAAGTCATTAGAAATGAAAATTCCTGGGCCTACTTTTAGACCTACTGAATCAGAAGCTCTGGGGTAGAGCCTAGCATTCTGTTTTAACAAACTCTCAAATAATTGTGATACACTAAAGTTTAAGAACCACTAGGCTAGACCATCTTTTAAAATGTACAATTTGCCTGGGCACAGTGGCTCACCCCTGTAATCCCAACACTTTGGGAAGCTGAAGGGGCATTGCTGAGGTCAAGAGTTGGAGACCAGATTGGGCAATATTATGAGCCCTCATCTCTATAAAAATTTTTTAAAAAATAACTGAGCGTGGTTGTGCATGCCTGCAGTTGTTGCCACTCGGGAGGCTGAGGTGGGCATATCACTTGAGCCCAGGGGGCAGAGGCTGCAGTGAGCCATGATCACACTCAGGAGGCTGAGGTGGGAGGATCACTTGAGCCAGGGAGGTGGAGGCTGCAGTGAGCCATGATCACGCCACTGCTATCTAGCCTGGGCGACAGAGTGGAACCCTATCTTAAAAAATAAAAGTTTTAAAAAAGTGTACAATTAAATGGTTTTTAGTACATTCACAGAGTTGTGCAACTATCACCACAATTAATTTTAGAACATATTCATCACTTTCAGAAGAAACTCAGTACCTTAATTAGTATTTACTTTCCATTTTCCCCCAAGCCCACCAACCCTGGGCAACCACTAATCTTTCTACCTCTGTGGATTTGCCTACTCTGGACGTTTGATATAAATGGAATCATGTGGCCTTTTGTGGTCTGGCTTCCTTCAGTAAGCATCATGTTTTCAGGTGCATCTATGTTGCAGCATATATCCATACTTTCTTTCTTTTCATTGTTAGCTAATATTCCATTATATAGACATGCCACATTTTGTTTATTCATTCATCAGTTGGTGGACATTTGGTTTGTTTCCATCTTTTAGCTATTACAAATAATACTGCTGTGAACATTTGTGTACAAGTTTTTGTGTAGAATATGTTTTCATTTCTGTTGGGTGTGTACCCAGGAGTGGAATTGCTGGTTCCCAGGGTAGCTATGTTTAGCCTTTTGAGGAACTGCGAGACTTTTCCAAAGTGGCTGTCCCATTTTACATTCCTGCCAGCAGTGTATGAGGGTTCTAATGTCTTTATATTCTCATCAACACTTGTTATTAAATATTTTCTACTAGACTATCTTTTGAGATAATGAATTCTGTAAGCCTATTACGCTATATCATTTATTTTCCTGAAAGTAAAAGCATTTAAAGGATGCCTCTTAGCTATTATTTCTGAGGTTGGATACCTGGTTTCACATTTGTACTTCCATTTTGTGATTTTATAAACTTTCATCATATTCTTTTTAGCTGAATTAAAAAATATAGATCTAAAGATATATATCTTAATATAAGTATATATAAAATAAAAAATAAAAATCAATCATTTAATCTTAAACATACAAAGCCCTTCTATCTTTTTTATTAGTTTAATATTAATTGAGGCAGTGACATTTTTATCCTCTGATATGTCTAGCCTAGTAATTATTCAATAAATGTATTTTTAATTGGTTGATTCTCAAACATGAGTATAAACATTCCTTAGCTTTGCAAAACACCTGCTATCAAAAGCAACTCATTTTCTTGACACATTGATTTCTGATTACAAGCCCCAGCTAAAGAAATAGGGTTATACTCAAGCTGACTGACCTTTCTCAAAGCTGTTTTTTTTCCAGAGGAATGGCTTCTTGTGGGAACCAAACAAGGACATCTTCTTCTCTATAGGATTCGGAAGGACGTTGGTAAGTGCGTATTGCTCATGAAAAATAATAATAATAATAATCATGTTTTAATAGTCAGCTAGTATACAACGGTGAAATCAGTTATTCCTGGACCATTGAAAGAGAGAGTGAAGGTTAGAGGGAGCACGGTGGGAAAATGGGGAGAAGACTTGAGAATGCCTAGGGCTTTTCTCCTTCAAACTGTATTGCCCTACCTACATCTGGGAGGTGAGGATGAGTTTCTGGTTTACTTATTACTGAATTACTTATTACCGGTAGTGAGTCTGTAAGAAAAGAGGAGGTGGTGGTTTTCCTCCTCTTTTCTTAGAGACTCACTACCAGTAATAAGAAATACTACTAATGGGAATAAGATTCCTGTATATATGGTGTGGTGGTAGGAAAAAAAATTAGGAAACATTGGTTTAAAATATCTTGTTAGCTTGTGAGGGGTAGACCAGGAAGAGAGGACCAGGGTTTGTGTTCATGTGCACTTCCCCCGGCTGCGTGACTGTGAGCAGGTTCTTTCCAACATCAGTTTTCTATAAACTCTCTGTCTCACAGAGTTGTTGGGGCAGATGCAATAATAGGCTTGAAGAAACTGTGAAAACTAAAGTTCTAATCAAATGTGACTGTCAGTAACGTAGAGTAATAACTAAAGTATTTGAAATGTATTCTGTTAAAGAGTGTTTTTTTATTGGGGCAGAAAGTACCTCACTGCCCTTCCCTGTTTTCATTTTTGTGCTCTCTTTATGGAGAATAGATGTGTTTAGGTATTATGCCCTGAAGCCACTCTACAGAAATCTGCAGTTAATTTCATACCTTTCAATCTAATATATATTTCTCTGATAAATAGCTTGAGAGACAGCTTAAGATAAATAGAGCTCTCTTTTGGAACCTGGAGCAAGGGTAACATTGGGGGAAAAAGCACCTTACTAGTGCACCCGGCAAAGAGGAAGATATCCTGGTCAGTTTCTGCAGCAGGGTAAGAAAATAAACCAGAGAACAAAATAGAGAATTTATTTCATTTCTAAGTTTTTCAACTGTCCTCTAAATCAGGGGTCAGCAAACTTGTTCTGAAAAGGTCCAAAGAATAAATATTTTAGGCTTTGCAGTGTTGTAAGTACTTAACTCTGCCATTATAACATGAAAGCAGCTGTAAGCAATATATAATGAATTGGTTATGTTTCATAAAACGTAATTATGTTTCAATATGGTTATGTTTCAATAAAACTTTATTTACAAAAACATGCAAAGGCCTCAATTTGGCCCTTGGGCAGTACATTGTTGATCTTTGTTTTAATGTTTTAAATGTTTAATTCTTGGCCAGGTGAAGTGGCTCATGCCTATAATCTGAGCACTTTGGGAGACTGAAGTAGGAGGAATGATTGAGGCCAGGAGTTCGAGACCAGCCTGGGCAACATAGCGACACCCTCTCTACTAAAAATTAGCTGAATGTGGTGGCACGTGCTTATAATTCCAGCTGCTCTGGAGGCTAAGCTGAGAGGATCGCTTGAGCCCAGGAGGTTGAGGCTGCAGTGAGCTGTGATCACACCATTGCTCTCCAGCCTTAGCAACAGACCTTGTCTCAAAAAAAAATTTTTTTTTTAGTTCTCAGAGCCAAAATATTTGCATTCTGTGATATTTGCCTGGTCTATAATTTTAAAATTAAGCTCACATTTTAATTTTAAAGCTAAAAATGCTTATCTTATTCAGCATTCAACAACTGTTTTTTGACTCTCTACTTTCAGATGTAAGTGGTGATCAGAAATTGAAAACAAGACTTTACAAATGAAGTCTTTCAACACAGTATAGACCTAAACTGGTAATATGAGCGTTAATCTGGCTTGGAACCCTGGTGGCGACTATTCCTTGCTCTGTGATCATTTTATCATGTCAACTTTGACAAATTAGTTAATGTTCCTGGGCCTCAGTTTCTCCATAGGTAGCTTAAATATAGACAATTAGGAAATCAAACTCTGATTTGAAACTTTTTCTTCAAGAAATGTCATTTTTCCCTATACTCTTGGTGAACAGTGTAGTTCTGGCCCAGCTCTGGCCTGATGTGGGCCAGAAATAGACCTGGGCCTGTGTGAATTAGTTCTAGGGTTAGTTTGGTTTCTAGATTTGAGATATTTCAAGCCTAAATAGATCTATGGGTAGACTGTCTTTCTGAGGAAAGGGAGGGGATAATAGGGTCAAGAAAAGACTAGGGCTAGGGATCGTAGGCTCCGATCTGATCTCAGTCATTTCCCTGGAGCTCAGTTGAGCCAGTGACATTTTTATCCTCTGATGTGTCTAGCCTAGTAATTATTCAATAAATGTGTTTTGAATTGGTTAATTCTCAAACATGAGTATAAACATTTCTCAACAGACATCTCTAGTCTTCATTTTACTCCTTTATTTTTTGAGACAGGGTCTTGCTCTGTTGCCTAGGCTGGAGTGTAGTGGCGCTATCCTGGCTCACTGTAGCCTCAACCTCCTGGGTTCAAACCATCCTCCCATCTCAGCCTCCCAGGTAGCTGGGACCACAGGCACACACCAACATGTCCAACCCATTTTTGTATCTTTTGTAGAGATGGGGTTTCGCCAGATTGCCCAGGCTGGACTTGAATTCCTGGGCTCAAGTAATCTGCCCACCTCAGCCTCCCAAAGTTCTGGGACTACAGTTGCGTGCCACCATGCCCAGCTAATTTTTGTATTTTTTTAGAGACAGGGTTTCACCATCTTGGCCAGGCTATTCTGGAATTCTTGACCTCAAGTGATCCACCCGCCTCAGCCTCCCAAAGTGCTGGGATTACAGGCGTGAACCACTGTGCCCAGCCCAGTCTACTCTTATCTTGAACTGAGAAGGGTTAGATTAGTTCATGTCTGAGGCCTTTACAACTCTAGGTTTGTTTCAGTCGTGCTGAGCAGCGTTCTCAAAGTGTGGTCTCTAGACCCCTGGGGATCCCCAAGATCCTTTCAGAGGACCTACAAGGACAAAACCAAGTTTGCAAAAACACTGAAACATTTCATTTTTTTTTTTTTTCCACTGTATTGACATTTACAATGATGGTGCAAAAGGAATGGTGATTAAAACTGGTGGGCACCTGAACACAAATCAGAACAGTAGCACCTAACTTCAAATAGAGACTTGAAAAAAACAAGAAAAAAAAAGTGGTACCAAGCTGTACTAATAGTCATTGTGTAATTCTCACCATGTGCTCACCGTGGGTTTTTGTTTGTGTTTGTTTGAGATGGGCTCACTCTGTCACTCAGACTAGAGTGCAGTGGCACAATCGTGACTCACTGCAACCTGTAACTCCTAGGCTCAGGCGATCCTCCTGCCTCAGCCTCTCAAGCAGCTAGGACCACCAGCACACACCAGCATGCCCAGATAGGTTTTACTCCTCATAAAGATGAGGTGTCTCTTGTTGCCCAGGGTGGCCTCAAACTCCTTGCCTCAAGTGATGGGTTGTTGTTGTTTTTTCTTTTTTTTTTTTGAGACGAAATTTCACTCTTGTCACCTAAGCTGGAATGCAATGGCGCAATCTCGGCTCACTGCAACCTCCCCCTCCCAGGTTCAAGCAATTCTCGTGCCTCAGCCTCCTGAGTAACTAGGATTACAGGTGCTCACCACCACACATGGCTAATTTTTGTATTTTTATTAGAGACAGTATTTCACCATGTTGGCCAGGCTGTTGTTGAACTCCTGACCTCAGGTGACCTACCTGTCTCGGCCTCCCAAAGTGCGGGGATTATAGACGTGAGCCATCACGCCCGGCCAGTTGTGTGTGTGTCTGTGTGTGTGTGTGTGTGTGTGTGTGTGTGTGAAAGCTAGTTTCACTTAAGAATGTTCTTGGTTAGGCAGTAAAAGTTGTTATTTTTATTGTATTTTGACTTTTGGCAACACATCTTTTTAGTAATCTCTTGTGATATGATGAGAAGTACACATACAGTACTTCTGCTGTGTGCCAAGGCGTGAAGTCCTATGGCTGTCTTGAGGGAAAAATGCTTGTGTGATTGAGTTATGAGCTAAACTGGCTGCTTTTTTCATGGAGTATTGTTTTTGTTTGAAAGAATGACAGGTTGTGGTTTTTTTCAGACCATTTGGATATTTGGAAGGTTTTTTTTGTTTTGTTTTGTTTTGTTTTTAATGAGCAAAGGGAATCTGTTACTTTAAGGTAAAGGAACTGGCAGTATTTGTTGTGAACAATAAAGTTAGAGCTTTCAAGAAAAAAAATAGAATTGTGGAAAACTTGTGTTCACCCCACTGAGTGTGACAGCTTCTCCATAGTTAAAGATTTTTTTCTGATGAGATTGGGGGTGATAATAATGAATGTCATTTTTTAACATCCTATAATGAAATGTAGGTCTGGATTGGAAAATCTGCATAACTCAGTAAACCAACATTTTCCAGATGACGAATGCATGAAGTTTTAAAATCATGTGTGAGTAAAAGATACATTCAAAGTGTAAGGTAGACCAATGTTTTTTGACGTGACGGAAAATGAAAAGTTCATTGACAAGTATGAGATTTCACTTTATGAGAAATTACATTTGTTAAGTGTTGGTATAGTGTCAAAGAAGAATCTGAAAAATCTATTAAAGTACTTTTCCCTTTTCAACTGTATATCTACATGAGGACAGATTTTTTGTCATATACTTCAATCAAAACAAATTAAATTATCAAAACAGATTAAATGCAGAAGCAGATGTGGGTTCTTACTTATGGGGTTATTGTTATTTTTAAATACATACATGTTTTTAAATGTATTTAAATTTCTAATGTAAATATTCATGTATATAATCCCCAAAAGAGTTCTTTGAAGTCCTCAGTAATTTTTAAGATATCAAGATTTGGAGAAAAAAAAGTTTAGGAATCTCTGCCTTAGAAAATTCTATTTGTAAAGAGAATTATAGGCCTGGAGCAGTGGCTCACACCTGTAATCCCAGCACTTTGGGAGGCCGAGGTGGGTGGATCGCCTGAGGTCAAGAGTACAAGACCAGCCTGGCCAATATGGTGAAACCCCGTCTCTACTAAAAATATAAAAATTAGCTGGGCGTGGTGGCACATGCCTATAATCCCAGCTACTCCAGAGGCTAAGGGCACAAGAATTGCTTGAACCCAGGAGGTGGAAGTTGCAGTAAGCTGAGATCGCACCACTGCACTCTGGTCTGGGCAACAGAATGATACTCTGTCTCAAAAAAAAAAAAAAGGAGAATTATTAAGTGCAATAATAAGGCGCTTTGAAGTGTAGGAAGTGTCTGAATTGTTTTTTTTCCTCATGAAATGTAACAGCAGAATACCAGGGCACACTCCCTGCAACTTTAGGGCCCTTTCTTCATCCCCTCTACTGAGGGACACATGGAAGAAGGGA